ATTAAAAAAGAAAAAATTCGAGAGGTCTGCATCAAACTTAGCTTTCCACCCTAAGATTCTCCATCGTAGCAGGAATGCCTTATGTCCGTTTGCTGCTTTCCTCCTCCTGGTTTCTATTTGGTCTTCCATTCTGTTTAATTTTTCCTGCACAGCTGTCACTAGAGTAAAGATCATCACCATAGCAAGGCTTTCTTCGGCCTGTAATGCTAATAATAACTCAGATGCCCGACACACATTATGGTCCGGTTTTCCTGGGAGGGCATTTTTAAAGGGGGTTTCATCGGATACTTTTCCCTGCATGTAACCCTGACCAGGCTGGACAGTTTCATCACTTCCTCTAGCCTGCGGGGTCACAGTAATGGTGACTCGGGAGGCGTTCTGATGACACTGTAAGGAGTCAGGGGAGGGGGCTCCAGCTTCCAGCTTGCCACGCGCCCCTCGCCAGAACCTGTCTTGTGGTCCTCGGCAGCAGGGACCTGGCTACGCCCCCTGGGGGGGAGCGGGTTGTTTTGATCCATGGTTGGATGGTTGAATCTGCAGATGGAAAACCTGCAGATATGGAGAGTGGATTGCAAAGATGATTTTTGATATGTCAGTTCGTATATAAATTTTTAAGGACTTTTTACCTTATATTTCTTTCATGATAGATGAAGAAATATTTTACCAATTTCCCATATGAGAAAAGAAACCAGCTTAACCTGTTTATTTAGTTTCATTACACTGTTCTGTATTCATACTATTACAATATATTTTATTTCTATTTATTTTCTAATATGTTTTTATTGATGAGAGAGAGAGAGGTGGGGGGGAGAATTTGATGTGTGAGAGAGAAACAGCTATCAGCTCCCTCCTACATGCCCCTAACTCGGAATGGAGCCCACAATCCAGGCATGTGCCCCTGCTGGGAATTGAACCAGCGACCTTTGGGTGCATAGGACGATGTTCAGCCAACACCTGAGCCACACTGGCCATATGTATTTTAAATCATTTCTCACAGTAACTATTTTTTTTTTAAAGTTTTAATTCTTAAACTATAAACACAAAAGAATATATGTAATGCACACATAGATAGTAAAGCATGGTAGTGAAACACATACTCACGAAGCCTCTTTAAAAAACAAGAGTATTGGCAGACCAGAGATTCTGTTTTCAATAATGGCAGAGTAAGACCCTTCTTGATGATTACCTTTACAAAACTATAGTGTTTCAACATGATGAAAAAGCCAGCTCAGGCTGGCTTCTCAGTGGTCAGAGCATCAGCCTGCAGGCCGAAGGCTCTTGGATTTTGTTCCTGGCCAAGCGCATGTACCTCAGTTGCAGGTTTGATCCCCGCCCCGGTTAGGGCGCATATGGGAGGCAATCAATCGATGTGTCTCTCACATCGATGCCTGCCTCTCTCTCTCTTTCCCTCTCTCTCTCTCTCTCTCTCTCCTCCCCCGCCCCTTCCCCCTCTACTCCCCTCCCCTTTCACTTTCTCTAAAAAAAGTCAATGGGAAAAATATCCTTAGGTGAGGACTAACAGCAACAACCCAAACTGAGATGCCTCCTGTGCCTGAGTGACAGCAGCACAGACTGGTGTGGGCCGCACTCAGGAGAGGCCTGTGCAGAGGATGCTTTGTGCTCACGGCTTTCAGGAGGGTGCGGTGAGGTGGGAAAGTCAGCCTTTCCGGCTGGGAAGCTAGAATGATGATGATCATGCCGCTCAATGGAACATGGAAATCATGGAAGGGAAAGACTGAGAGAGGGTCCTGGGATTCTGGCCACAGTTCCCGCTGTCCCTGACCTGGATGCTCAGAGCAAGCTCATTGCAGCCCAGCGGACAGGCCGGGAACGGGTTTGCAGTTCAGTCACCCAGAGAAGGCTTTTGGACCGCAGAAACAGAAACTAATCTTCACGAGTTAAAGTCAGTAATGGCAAGGAGACAATTCCACGATTACTGGGCATAGGAAGCAACAAGAGAGAGGAGAAAGCAACCACATGTGGCCTTAGATGAGTCATGGAAACAAAATTTTAAAGTAAAATTAAAAATGTCTTCACCGATGCAGAACAAAGTATGCTTCAGTGAGTAAAAAGATACTTCATGGGAGTAAGATAATCAGAATAAAACCAAATAGAAATTCTATAAGTGAAAAATACAGTATTGGAAACATAAAATTCACTTGCTGGATATAACAACCTTTTTCTCACAGAAAAATTAACCTCAAAAGTGCCAATAACTCACCATAAAAGCTAAAACAAATTTCTGGAAGAAAATAAAGAAGCGTTAGACAAAGATTTCCTGAGCACACATAGCACAAACTGTAAAAGGAAAAATTTGATGAAATGTGCTTAATCAAAATGAAAAACTTTTACTTTTCAAAACACAGTAAATATCGGTAAAACTAAAAGATACCACCGTCCTGCGGACAACATTTGTAAGACATTTATATGGCAAATGCCATGCGATAAAAGAACGGACAAAGATGTGAACAGTCTTCACAAAAGCAAACGTGCCAGTGGACAGTGAGCTGAGCCTCTGGCACTGACTGTCCCACGTCTCCATCAGCGGCGCTCCCTTGGGGGTTGGTGAATAGACAGTGTGGGGCAGCCTTAGAATGGAGTGTGCTCCCCAGTGGGCAGGAGTGAGCTGCTGATACATTCCTCGAATGACGTTCAAAGGAGTTATGCTGAGCGATGAAGCCGGTCATAGAGGTTTGAAACATGATTCCACTTTAATGACATTCTCCAAAGGACAGAGCTATAGTGATAGAAAACCAATCATCAATTGCCTGGGGTCGAGAAGGGGGAAGGTGTGACTCTCAAGACACAGCATGAGGGAGTTTTTTGAGGGGCGATGGAACTGTTCTGGATGTTGTTTGTGGTGGTGGTAACATAAATCTATGCGTGTGCTGCAATTCATAGAACTATACACTGAAAGAAAGAAAATCAACTTATAATTTTATTTTATTTTTATTTTTTTATATTTTATTGATTTTTCACAGAGAGGAAGGGAGAGGGATAGAGAGTTAGAAACATCGATGAGGGAGAAACATCGACCAGCTGCCTCCTGCACACCCCTCACTGGGGATGTGCCCACAACCAATGTACATGCCCTTGACCGGAATCGAACCTGGGACCCTTCAGTCCGCAGACCAACGCTCTGTCCACTGAGCCACACCAGTTTCGGCAACTTATAATTTAAAAAATAAGTTAATGTGCCGGGACCGGTTTGGCTCAGTGGATAGAGCGTCGGCTTGGGGACTGAAGGGCCCCGGGTTCAATTCCGGTCAAGGGCATGTACCTTGGTTGCGGGCACATCCCCAGTAGGGGGTATGCAAGAGGCAGCTGATCGATGACTCTCTCTCATTGATGTTTCTAACTCTCTATCTCTCTCCCTTCCTCTCTGTATAAAAATCAATAAAATATATTAAAAAAAAATAAGTTAATGTGCCCTAGCTGGTGTGGCTCAGTGGATAGAGTGTCAGCCTGCCGACCGAAGGGTCCCAGGTTTGATTCCCGTCAAGGACACGTACCTTGGTGGCAGGCTCCTCCTAGGCCTGGCCCTGGTCAGGGCTCGTGCGGGAGGCAGCCAATCTATGTGTTTCTCTCACATCCTTCTCTCCCCATCTTTCCCTCTCTCTCCCACTCCCTCTAAAAAGCAATGGAAAAATATCCTCAGGTGAGGATTAACAAAATAATAAATAAGTAAATAAGTAAATATTTAAAAAGTTAATGTAAGTCTAAGATTCTATGTTTCTATGATTATGACAGAGATTGGCCTGTAACTTTCCTTTCTTATAATGCGCTTGTCCCATTTATTACCATGCTGTTTTAAAAATGAATCCCTTTTCCCTGTTCTCTGAAAGGATTGGTGTTTTCCTCAAATGTTTGGACAAATTTATTGATAAAGTAATCAGGAACTTATATTTCATTTGTGGGACTTACAGATTCAATTTTCTATAATAGATATAAAACTAATTAAGTTTTTAACTATTCTGTTAGTTTTTAATGTTTTATTTTTATAAAAATAAAAAATAAATTTGTCCATTCTGAATTTTCAAATCTGATGGTATAAATTTTTTTTGAAATATAATTTTATATGTAAGTTGATTATTAATGACATTAATGTGGTCTTTTTTTACATCTTCACTAGAAGGTATTTTTTTCATTGATTTTTAGAGAGTGGAAGGGGAAGGAGAAGAGAGAGAGGGAGAGAGAGAAGCGTGCATGAGAAAGAGATACATCAATTGGTTGCATTCCACACAGACCCAGAACCTGCAATGCATGTACGTGCCTTGATCTGGAATTGAACCTGTGATCCTTTGGTGCATGGGCTGATGCTGTAACCACTTAGCAACACCAGCCAGGGCTGTTTTTAATGTTTTGATTGCTGATGTTGATAAAATGTTATCTCCTGATCAGTCTTAGAAGGCCTTTAATATTTATAAGGCTATTCTTGGTTCTTTGTAGTCTTATATAAATTTTAGAATCAGTTTTTTAATTTTTAAATTTATTAATTTAAAAGATGGGATTTTGATTGGTATCCATAGATTTTGTTATACATTTGCTTTTCATTTTGTTACTTTGTTTCTATTTTTATTATGAATATTCTGTTTCTCAAAGAATAATCAAATTTATTTGGTGAATCTTTGTAAAGTATCTATTTATAGTAGATAACAAACTTCCACTGTTAATATTTTCTTAAGTGATTGGTATATACTTGCCCCAGAAGTGCAAACCGGTCATGCTGAGGGAGAGAGACTATTTATAGACATGCTTTCAGACACATGCACACACCTCTCAGGAAGAAGAATTTTGCTGAGATGTTCTTCATTGTCCAGATCTACTTAATCTTGCCTTTCAGAATATTGATAACATTGGAATGAACTTACATATTTAGAGGGGAACTAGTGAAGAGGGGAGAGTATATGTCTAAGAAAATTTAGTGCTTAATTTCAGGGACACTGACCTTATCTCAGTATTTAAAATGCTAATTGATATGTTTATCCTTGTTTTTCTAGTGACATGCAGTTTTCGAGGATCTGTTCCTCAAGGGTTGGTCTTAGAAATAGGAGAAACGGTGCAGATTCTTGAAAAATGTGAAGGTAAGTATGGTCCTATAAAGTATACAGATAGTGATCATTTTGGGGCAGTATTGTATAGTGACATGATAAGCAATCGTTTTAAGCTGTAATTAGCTACGTTATAATATACTATTATAAAATCCTCCCTGAATTTTGCTCATCATAAAAGTACAAGCTATTTTTATATAACTATTAGAATTAGTCTTTTGCCAAGAGTATACCTGTGATATTGTTGTGTATAGTGACAATTCATCCATTTTCCTTTTGATATTTTTTTAAAATTGTTATTTATTTTATCAGTTTTTATTGAATTTGCTGGGGTGACACTGGTTAACAAAATGATGCAGGTCTCAGGCGCACAGTTCCACATCACATCACCTGTGTTGTGTGTTCACCACCCAAATCAGGTCTTCGTCCGTCACCACTGATTCCCCAAACCCTTTCCCACCGCCCATGTCCATGAGTTTTCTCCCTCTCTCTTTTTCTTCTTTTTTGCTCAATTCTCCCACTCCCTCCCCAACCCTTACCCATCCTTGACAACTGGTAGCCTAGTCTCTCTAAGTCTGTCAGGATTTTGCTTGTTAGTTCATTTTGTCCATTAGATTCCATATCTGAGTGAAATCATATGGTTCTGTGTTTCTCTGACTGGCTTGTTTCCATGATCTCCTTACTGTAGTGCTAGATCAGTTTGCCAATATTCTCTTGAGGGTTTGTACTTGTCATCCACCTGTCTCTGCTTTCTGAGCAGCCGTTATCCTGGGTTTGGGGGTGGGGGTAAATAAATTCGCATTTTCTTCGGTCAGGGAAGTATATGCTCTGCCTTTGAAATAAAAAGTTTGCAGCCTCTTGTTGGAAGGGTGCTTCCTGTTGGACTGCACTTGGAGCTTTTGATCTGCTTGATTGGTTTGCACCCAGAATCTCTGTAAAGGATGCTGCCTGTTGACTGTCACATGGCTGATCTATATAAAGGCTTCATTCTTTGGGTTTAACACTGCTGACTCTGTGCTGCAGCCTCAGTAGCAATTGTAGTGGCCCTGTTGTCTCTCTCTGATAGTATAGCCTCGCTTACATGGTGACTTACATTCCACTATCTACATAGTAGTGCACATTTAACAAGTGCGATGCCACAATGTTACATATAATACATATGGAAACACCTAGCACAGAGCATGGCACAGATTGACTATGTTTTGTTTACATGTTTAAAAAACCATAGCTTTCAGATGAATTTCTATTTAATATATATATGTATACACAGGTCCAGAATATTTTAGCCAGCCTCTTTTCTTAATTTGTATTTCTCTTCTTACTGATTATTTTTCTAACTTAATGGGAGTGAATTTTTTAAATTTTCCTTTTAAAAAATCAGGTTTGAAGTAAATTTTAAAATATGTAAAGTATGTTTGGCATGACCAAGTATAGACGGTTATTCCAGAATTAAGTTGAAAATGTAAACCCTATACCTATCTTACTCCATTCACATAGTAACTACTTACACAGTAGACAGTAAGCGCGTGCTGAATTTTATTATCTTTGAAAGTATAGTGAATTTCTAGCGGTTTTTCTAAAATCTTCAATTTATTTTTTGCTCATCAGTCTTATGTGGTTATATTTAGTTTAAAATTCTATTTTCTGTACTTTTCATCTTCTTTGTAGACTAATTGCTTAAATATAATATAGTTTGCATAACTCGTAAATCTAAAATCTCTACTGATTTCCGTATAATATAGGATTTAACATTACATCTCAATTAGGAATTTAGTTTCATTTATTACCTTAATTTTTAATCATATTTTATAAAGTGTCATTTTAGAATCTAGGTTTATGATATATATATATTTAATCTTCACCTGAGGATATGTTTTTTTCTTGATGTTTTTAGAGAGAAACAACATTCATTGGCTACCTCATGCACGCCTCCTACTGGGGTCAGGCCCACACCCCAGGCCTGTGCCCGACAGGGAAGTGGTTGACACTCAACTACTGAGCACACAGGCTGGATTGGGGATATTAACAAAATATATGTTCTTGTTGATTTTAAAGAGAGAGGAAAAAAGAGGGTTAGAAACATTAATGAGAGAGAAACATTGACACTGGGAATTGAACCAGTGACCTCTTGGTTCATGGGTTGATGCTCAACCACTAAACCATGCTGGCCAGGCCACCTGGGGATTTTCATGGAGTTGGATTGCATTCCTCTGAGGTCTTTTCTAGTTTTTTGTGTCTTGTTCAGTTGAAAGGACCTTGTGCCTTTTTTTTTATTTTTATTTTTTTCCAAGTTCCTTGTTTAAAAATTGATTGGAATGACATTGGTTAATAGAATTATATAGGTTACAAGTATACAATTTTATAATACATTATCTACATAATGTGTTACACACCAAGTCAGGTCTCCTTTCGTCACTATTTATTCCCCCTTTATCCTCTTCTACCTCCACTCCCCCCCTCCCCCTCTGCTTCTGGTAATCACCATACCGTATTTATGAGTATTCTTTTGTTTGTTTAATCTCTTTACCTTTTTTCACCAAGTCCCCAAGCTCCCTTTTCTTTGACAGCTGTCAGTTTGTTCTCTGTATCTATGAATCTGTTTCTAATTTTATTTATTTTGTTCATTAGATTCCACATATAAGTGGAATCATACAGTATTTGTCCTCCTCTAACTGACTTATTTAACTTAGCATAATACTTTGGATAGGAAGAATTAATGTGATTGAAAGCAATCTATAGATTCAGTACAATTCCTATCATGTTACCAATGACGTATTTCACGGAACTAGAACAAATATTCTAAAATTTTATATGGAACCACAAAAGACCCTGAAGAGCCTCAGCAATCTTGAGAAAGAAGAACAAAATTGGAGGAATCATAACCTGATATCAAACTATACTATAAGGCCATCGTAATGAAGACAGCATGGTGTTGACATAAAAAACAGAGATGTAGATCAATGGAACAGAATAGAGGTCAGAAATAAACCAACGTCTTTATGGTCAATTAATATTTGACAAAGGAAGCAAGAGCATACAATGGGGTAAAGACAGTCTCTTCAATAAATGGTGTTGGGAAAACTGACAGATATGTGCAAAAAGATGAAACTAGACCAGCTTCTTACATGATATACAAGATAGGCTCAAAATGAATTCAAGACTTAAATATAAGACTTGAAAACATAAAAATCCTAAAAGAAAATATAGGCGGCAAAATCTTGGACATTTCTCATAGCAGTATTTTTAAAAAAAATATTTCCTTGAGCAAGGGAAACAAAAGAAAAATAAACAAATAGGGAAAACTAAAGAAATTTAGTTTTCCCTATTTGTTTTTAATCTGATTTTTTAATCTGATAAGGGTTAATATCCAAAAATTTAAAGAACTTACCTAAAAAAATTAAAAATGGAACTGCTTTATGCCCCAATGGTTCCACTTCTGGGAATATATCTGAAGAAACCTGAGACTGTTAATTCAGAAGAATATGTGCACTCTGTTTATTGCAGCGTTATTTACAATAGCCAATATTTGGAAGCAGCCCGTCAGCAGAGGAGTGGATAAGAAGCTGTGGTACATTTACACCCTGGGCTACTACTTGGCTGTGAAAAAACAAGGAAATATTACCTTTTGTGACAGCAGAGATGGACCTAGGGCATTATCCTTTTTGAAGAAAATTGAGAATGTTGTATTTATTGTAAGGCTGTTCCTTCTGAAGTAAACTACTAATGAAGGCACAGTTAATATACCTTTTTTAAAAAAGTTCGCATTTATTTTTCTAACAATGCTTATGCCTCACAGAAAATGACAACAATGTGATTTTATTTATTTATTTATTTATTTACTTATTTATTTATTTTTAAATATATATATTTTATTGATTTTTTACAGAGAAGAAGAGAGAGGAATAGAGAGCTAGAAACATTGATGAGAGAGAATCATCGATCAGCTGCCTCCTGCACACCCCCCACTGGGGATGTGCCCACAACCAACATACATGCCCTTGACCGGAATCGAACCTGGGACCCTTCAGTCCTCAGGCCAACGCTCTATCCACTGAGCCAAACCGGTTTCAGCAAAAATGTGATTTTAATATCCTTCGTATGCTTCGTTTTAGGTTGGTACAGAGGAGTTTCCACAAAGAAGCCAAATGTAAAGGTACTGAATAATTTTATTACCTTTTCTAATGTAGGAGCTTCCTTGTCTGCTTGTTTTATAGAAAAACAATTCTTATTTCTTATTTTGCCTTGGACAATCTTTTACAGAGGCCACACTCATTTCTTCCTTCTCAGCGCTGTATCAGTCTCTGCTCTGTCTCAGCTCTGTTAGGATGACTTTTATTTTAAAGGATAGAAAATACATATATGGCCATAGCTGGAAAGCTTATTTTGGAAAAACCTATTAGGATATTTAATTTTTTTTAAATTTAAATTCTTAATTGTTGAAAGTATTACATATGTCTCCCCCCCCCCACGTCTTTGACTTCTCCCCGCTTCTCCCTTCCCCAGCACAAGCCCTCACCCCCATACTGTCTGTCCATGGGTTATGCTAATATGCATGCATACAGTCCTTTGGGCCCTATTTTGTGGAGCCTGTGATTAGTTAGATGAGTTTTGTTTTATAAATACAGAATGAAAAGATTTTCAAATGATATTCATTAGATGTCTTTGTTGATCATAATGATATTGTTAAAATATGAATTTAAACAGAACTCTGTGCCAGATAATTGTTTGATGTGGGAGGCTGTCTTGTGCATTATTAGATGTTCAGCAGCATATCTCACCTCTACTTACTAGATGTCAGTAACATCCCCCCTCAAGTTGTGACGATGAGAGATGTCTCCAGACACTGCCTGGGGGTGGGGGGAGTAAAATTGCCCTGTGAGAACCACTGCGCATAGTCACATTGCCCCTCGCACTTCTCATTTCAAAACACACTTTCAGTTGTTATTTCCATCTTTGGAATGCTTATAAGGACACAATTTTTATTTTTTGTTTTTTTATCTTGATTTAGAATTGTCAAAAATTAGAACTTGAATAAATGAGAAATCTTATAAATTATTGGAAAGCTGTAATTTGTAGTGTGTGTGTTTTGGTAATACCAACTCGGTTCATGAATCTTGGATTATTGTAGAATTTATAAAAACACTTATCTATATACATTTTAATAGCTTTTATTTGTATTCTTAAACTTAAAAAATTAAGACAATAACTGAATTTCATTTACTGAAGCAATATTTTGTAAAACCATGATTTAAATTTCTTTAGTGTTTGAAAAAGATAACCATTTACTGATTGACACACTTAGAATTAAAAAATACATTCCTATACATTTTTCTTAATAATATGGTCACAAGAAGAATTTCAATAGGTTTTTTCATAGATATCAACAAATTTGGTTTAGAAGGAACATACCTCAACTTAATAAAGACTACATATGACAAGCCCACAGCCAGTGTCACATAGACGGGGTGGCCACTCTCACCTCTCTTACTTAGCACAGCACTGGGAAGTCCGAGCTAGTAAGAAAGGGAATGAAAAGGTCTTCATATTGGGAAGGAAGAAATAAAATTGTATTTGTTTTCAGATGATATTATTTGTATAGAATCCTAATTAGCTTCCACCAAAAAACTGCTAGAACTAATCAACAAATTAAGTAAAATTGCAGGACATATAATTAACACACAGAAATTAGTTGTGTTTTTATATACTTCCAATTAAATATCTGAAAAAGAAATAAAACTATCCAGTTCACACTAGCATAAAAACACAATAAAACATTGAGGAATAAATTTAACCAAAAAGGTGAAAGATGTGTACACTAAACCATAACATGCATTACTGTGGTTTAGCTGCTGATGGCCTTGAGAGGTATAGAGTGGGTTTATTATTGTTAGTGGTGTGGGCCAAAGTGTATAAAAAATTTAGGCCATTTGTGGGTAAAAGAAGAAATAAAAAATGTAATTTGTGTTTTATGGGAAAGGATTTTCATACATCAGGAAAAGAATGAAACATTGATTGGGAAACTTAGTGTTTTTTTGTTTTTTTTTTTAAACAAAATGCATTTTTTATCCATTAGGAATTGAAATCATGCTATGGCAAATACCCAAGTGGAAATCCTTTAGAAAGAATAAAAGAAAAATTAGTTATAGAGGCTCCCAAATTGATAAATTCTTTTGAATACAAATATTAGCCAGAGTCTGAGAATTGTTTTTCTAGCGCTGAGCAGAATAATCTGTGAGTTTTTGGCCAGTCAATATTGTTGATTTTAGATTCATGCCAAGCTCTGTACATTTTATATCCTGAGAATGATTTGATGGAATATTTTCAATCTGTAACTTAAAAAATATAGTTTGTGGTTAAGATCACAGTTTTTTCCTGAGGATAGACTCTGATTGCAAATGACAATGAATAAATAATATAATATAATTTAAAACATTGCATTCTTAATTAGCAAAGTGGTTGCTATATCAAGAGATCTATTATGCTGTTGATAGAGTATTTCTATGCTGAAATCTGACTTCTGTTTTAGTATATGTGAGATATTAATCACAGGTTATTTGTTCTAATAGAAAATCTTTTCTCTTTCACAGGGGATCTTTCCTGCAAATTACATTCACTTAAAAAAGGCAATTGTCAGTAATAGGGGGTGAGTAGTTGGCCTTACTAAATTTATATACAGTTTTTGTCAGTTCTAGAGGAGGGCTTTGGTGGATTTTTTTGTTTTGTTTTGTTAATGTATAAATATGCTATTGACATGTTTTCCTGCCAAAAACATAATTGCTTCATTCATCATATATAATTCTGAGGACATAGTTTTTTGTTAAAATACTGACAACTTCAATTTGTTTTCCTGTGTTCTGGAAAGATAATCTGAGTGGTGAGTTTTATAAAAACCATTTTGCATACAGTATTTTTTAAAATGATGTACTGTTTTGAGAACAGCCACGAGTTTGACATGCTTGACTCACACTGTTGCAGGATGTTACTGCAAAGGATCTTCAGCCAATTATGTGCACCTCTTTTTATATTTGCATTAATTTAAAATTGGAGTTACACATGTTGACAGGGCAGCACATAGTATTCCGGTAATTTATTAAAGGTAATGTGGCCGTTTTTCGTGGTCTAGGCAGTATGAAACTGTGGTTCCTCTTGAAGATTCCATTGTGACTGAGGTTACAGCAACTCTACAGGAATGGGCCAGTCTTTGGAAACAACTCTATGTGGTAAGTAGTTGATAACTAAGTTTATTATATCATTAAAGTTTCATATACTCAGACCCTTCCTGTTAGGACCTGAAAATAGAAAGATAAATGGCTTATGGTCTTGACTCTAGAGAATTTAAGGAGCGGTGGAAGAGAGAGATGAGTAAACTGATGAAGAAAAAGAAACTGTGCAAAGTAAACGCTGTGTCCACACAAAATCTGCACAAGGATGCTTCTAGCAGATTTTTCCATAATTGTCGTAACTTGAAAGCAACCAAGAGGTCCTTCAGTAGGTGATGGATTAATAAACTGGTACCTACAAACAATAAAATATTATTTAGCATTAAACAGAAAATGGGCTAGCAAGCCATGAAAAGACATGGAAGAACCTAAGTACATATGACTGACTGAAGGAACCAATCTGAAAGGACTATATACCGAGTGATTTCAATTATATGACAGCCTGGAAAAGCCAAAACTGTGGAGACAGAAAGGAAGTCAGTGGCTATGCAGAAGGAGAGATGAACAGGCAGAGCACAGAGGCTTTTACGGTAGAGCAGGGAAACAACTCTGTGCTGCTAGGATGTTATTCTACACTGGAGGCCTGGTGCATGAAAATTCATGCACTGGAGTGGGGGTCCCTCAGCTCGGCCTGCCCCCTCTTATAGTCCGGGAGCCCTCAGGGGTGGGAGGCAGCCTGCAATCAGGGGAAGGTGACGCCTCATCACATCTCTGCTGCTGCCACTGCTGGCAGCGCAAGCCTCGGCCAGCCCTGATTATCTGAGTCTTCGGCAGCCATGGGTGGCTGAGCAGCCACCATCTGAGGCTTGCCTGTGCCTCTGGCCGACCCTGGGCGGCTGAAGGGCTGAGAGGACTGGAGGACGCCAGAGGCAGGTGTGTAGAGCAGCCGGACCTTCCTGGGGGTGGGCACAGCTGTACTGCGTGCCTGCTGCCCAGTGGGGCTTAGGGGACTTGTGGCTGTGGGCACTGTCATCTTTGAGGATGTGGCAGTCAATTAGCATATTCCCTCCTTATTGGCTGTGAGTGCCGCCATCTTTGTGAGGGTGTGATGGTCAATTAGCATATCCCCTCTTTATTAGATAGGATTTGTTTAAACCCATAGAATGTACACCAAGATGGAACCCTGATGGAAACTATCAACTTTAGATGATAGTGTGTAAATAGAAGTTTATCACTTGTAACAGATGCAGCACTCTGGTCGGGGTTTGATAATGGGGAAGGTTATGCATCTGTTGGGAAAGGGGCATATGGGAAATCTCTGTCTCTTCTTGATTTTGCTGAGAACCTAAAACTTATTTAAAAATCTTTATTAAAAATTATGCAAGTGTGGAATTACAACCTAAAATAAAATCCAAAAATATGATGTCCATTTATTCCTCCTTATCATAAACCTCTTTAATCATGTTTGTCTGAGTTTGTCTGTGACACATGTCTTCAAGGATGATAAATTCATATTCAACTGTGAAGATGAGTTTGGCTACTATAAATGCCATGTCTAATATGCAAATGTAACAAATTCACACTACCCCACATTATCCCCATCCAGTCACACAATGACATAATTTTACTATCGTCTTTCTTAGGCTGGTTCTTATTCTTACTAGGACATTCTTTGAGATTTAAAAAAAAACCACTCTATTACGGTTTACAATGCCCTTTAAAATGTTTTGAATAGTCATATTCCTTTGGATTTTCTCTCTTTACATGTAGTAGATCTGTTCTTTCTGTCTTACCTCTGGCATGTTTTTATATTTTAATTTTATGGATTTTAGAGAGAGAGAAAGGGAGGGAGAGAAAAACACAGGTTTATTGTTTCATTTATTTATGCATTCATTAGTTGCTTCTTGTATGTGCCCTGACCGGAATTGAACCCACACCTTGGTGTATTGAGATAATGCTCTAACCAGCTGAGCTGCCCGGCCAGGGTTGGCATGTTTTATATTTTAGACAAGCGGCATTAAAATACTGGAGAGACAGGTTAAATCACATAGCCTAACAAACAAGTAAATTTATCTGGAACTCTGTCCCTGTGCTGTCCGTCTAAGCTCGGGCTTCTGCATGTGGAAAGGCGTTACACAGGATTCTAAAGTTGCTCAAGCACAGAGTCATTTATAGGAGCAGCACTGCTGCTGCCGTCAGGAGTGGCTGCAGCCTGGAAACTCATTGCCTAGCAACCACATACTAACTCTGTCTGTTTGCTAGGCAACCTTCTCCAATCTCCAGTCCGTTTTGTGTGTGTTGGTGCTTCATCTTTTTCAGCCATAAGCATTTTAATGTTTCAGCAAAGAGTGCTTCTTATCTTCGTAATGACCTCGCATAGGGACCACAGAACGTGTGTGCTTAGTTACTTTTGTTTCTTTCCAGTCTTTCTCACAATACTGATTTTCTGCTGTTGAACATACATTGGTGGGATTAATATAGGATGTCCCAAAAACGTAAACACGCTTAAGAGCTGATAGCTCAATTGATTTTCTTTCTTTTCAGATTTAACCCACTGGAATTAATAATTAGTCAAAGTGTGTATATATTTTTGGGACACCCTGTATATTGAACTGTAAACAAGTGTTTCTTTCTACATTGATTAATATTTATAAATTCTATTCTTAAAAATAAAGAATATATTCTATAAATTTATCATTCTTGATCTCTTAAAATTTAGCTTAGTGTATTAAAGTTAATTGGTAGTTCTATTTTAAAATTACATTGTATTGAATATTTATCTGATCAGTTTAGTCATTACAAAAGGAGGTAAAGTTATCCTATTTTATAAAGGAGGATACTGAGGCACAGTATGAATTGATGTACCAACCTGGTACATGAATTTATTATAACCATTTATTCTCTCATTAAGTATTGTTGAATCCCCTGTTTGCAAGACCATATGCAGAATGTTGAGACCACATCTCATATGCAGAATGTTGAGACCACATCCATTAACAGCAGTAGTTAGTTTTGGATATTAAGGCCAATATGCATATCTTTATAAAGAGTTTATTTTAATAAAACTGGTAAAGTTACAACAAATGTGAAGGCCAACCAACACTTCTCATATAGTTAGTGGAAGGCAATGTTGTATAAGTCCAGGCTCAGAAGTGGGGTGTAAAGATATCATCCTGAGACGTGGTTAAACATTGCTTACTACACTTGAGCAGCATCCACATATGAGCAGTTAAAAGGGGGGTCATGTGGCTCTCGGTGCCTTCTTCACTTGGAGGACAGCTCTTCTTTCCTGGTTCTCAGAGAGCTCCGTGTTCTGGCCTTTGGGGTGTGCCAGGCGCCTCCTCTTCTCTGCGGTGCGGGGCTTCAGTGGGGACGAGGCCGGTTATCCGGAGACCAGGGCAGGCCTGGCCCTGACCTCTCAGGCAGCCACTGGCAGGCGTGTCCTGGGAGCAGGGGCTCTGGCTTGGTCTGTGTTGCCCCCAGAGGTCTTCAGCCAGTTGGTGCCATGCTCACATGTCTACATACAGACACACATTCATGCCCAGACTGTTAGCCTGCTTCAGGATTCCACATTTTACTGTTGTCTCAGTGTATAAATACAAGTGTTATTTGGCTTTTTATTTTGCATTAGAGTGGTTACCTCTAAAAAACATACAAATGTAGCAGAATGATTTTATTCTGGAAGAACTTGGACAGAACCAAAAGCAGCACTAAATAACAGCTGTCGGTGATATTCTTCTAGATGCTAACAGTGAGATGTTTATGCAGCCATTTCATTAAAGAGGAAGTAGAAACCACTCGTAAACATATTAGAACATGCTCAACCATCCCTAGACATAAATACGAATTAAGAGGAGATATGGACTTTTACTTATCAGATTGATAAGACTAAAGGATTGACAATACCTAGTGTTTGATATTGATGTAGATATAAACATGTTGGAGTGCGATTTGGCGCTATTGATAAATCTGTTAAACTGGCCCATCCTTCTACGAAGCAGTTTTACCTACCAGACTCTGACGCAGGCTGCCTTCCCTGGGTCCCTAAGACAGTGAGAGCGGCTGTGCGCCATCGTTGGTCATTGTGGAGGACAGGACAATTGGCTCCGGGTAAGAATGAGGGTGTATTTATTTGGTAAAGTTAAAAAGGGAAAACCTCATTGCCCTCCCAGAAGCTTCCTCCAATCTTTCAATTGTTAATTACTTTTCCCCTCCTCATTTTTTACATATATGATCTTTCAGTAAGCTATCTTAAGTCACTCAATTTCTCTCTGTCTCAGCATCTTTTCTCATGGATTTGATTCTTAGGGGAAACTGTGTAACACTGGCCTAAATAAAGAGAAGAAAGAAGGAAGGGGATGTGTGTGGCATTTTTATTGCCTTTCCCTTTTGTTTCTTTCTCCATACAGCAGGGACCATGGTCTCTTTAAAATGCATGTGGGATCCTAGTGTCCCTTCAGTGGTCAGCCTGTCCGCAGTTCCTGTTGGGCATAAATGCCAGCCCGTCCTGTCTGCGTCTCCATCCCTCTGTCCCGTTAGCCAAGGCCTTACTCTGTTCACACCTGGGAGCTTTGCTGTTGCTGATTCTTTTACCTGGCGTGTTCACCCTGGCTCTTCACTTCCCAGCTCCTCCTCATCCTTTGGTCTCTATTTAAATATTGCGATAGTTTGGGGAAGACCTGGGGAGGGGAGAGAGCAGGATGAAGGGATTAATGGGGGAGGAGTGGACTAATGGGAGAGGGGAAGGACATCTGCGATACTTTAAATGATGAAGATAAATAAAAATGTATATTTCTTCATCTAAGGCTTTTCCTAGCAATTCAACCGAAGTAGGTCCCCTGGTCTTTGTCACCACATTATTTTACCATGAAAAACACTGACTTTTTATTATTCCTCCTCGTTCTTAACCATCGATGTATTTGTTCGAAACAACAGTATTGTACCAACTATGTAAGTCAGTCATTTCTAAGGCTGGATATTTACAGAGAAAGAGAGTTAATCTAGGTAAGTGAGAAGTGACCATTAGAATGCTGAAGGAGTTGTGCTCTTTTTAACGTGGG